CAGAGGGGCATCCAGTGAGAGGATACTGGTCTACAACACAGGTCGCATTATAATTGTTATCTCATCTACAACAGTTCCTAAACAAGTAGGTTCCAAGGAGGTGAACCGCAAGCTTTAATAGCCTAATTGCAGGCTATTCATGAGGTGAGCGCACATCTTCACTTGAGGGAGGAGGCACAAGCAGTCACCTATTTAAAGTTATAGAAGATTTTTTTCAGCACAAAGTCACTTATATATTTCTCTGTGGGACATTATTATTTTATCATTATATTATATGATTTCACTATATTTTTAGTATTTTTACTATTTCATTCATGTGAGTTGATTGGCTATATATTCATTTATGTGAGTTGATTGGCTATATATTCACTTATTCAGATATTCAAATATATTATATACATTTTTATATATAGATTGGAAGGTTGTGAGCGCAATATTATATTTTTATTTACACAGTCTTTGAGCATGTCGGTCTCTGCCAAAGTGCACGGCAGCGCCGACGTGTGGAGCTGTAACTACGGTCAGGGACAGTACATGTCATTTACGGCCCACTGGGTGAACGTGGTGCCGGCACAGCCGCACCAGCAACTTGGACAGGTCACGCCGCTTTTGCCTCCACGTTTGCACGTCCTTGGTCCAGCAAAGATGTCCGCCTCTACCACCTCTTCTTCCGCCGTGTCCTCAGCCGCCACCCCCGTGCCAAGTCCCATTACCCGACCGGCATATCACATGTGCAGGGCGCAACGGTGTCACGCTGTGCTGCACCTGGTATGCCTTGGTGAACGTAGTCACACAGGGGAGGAACTTCTCAGTGTAATGAACAGAGAAATCGACAGATGGCTGTCTCCGCGCAAACTGAAAATCGGAACCATGTTGACCGACAACGGAAAGAACATGGTGTCTGCTCTGCGTCAAGGAAGGTTGTGCCATGCGCCATGCATGGCTAATGTGTTCAATCTGGTTGTCAAGCGGTTCCTAAAATCCACCATCCCACTGCAAGACATCCTTAAAATGTCACGTAAACTTTGCATGCATTTCAGCCATTCCTACACCGCAAAGCACACCCTCCTTGAGCTGCAGCGGCAGAACGGAATTCCACAGCATCGCCTGATCTGCGACGTTGCAACAAGGTGGAATTCAACCCTACATATGTTAGACCGCCTTTACGAACAGTGAAAGGCCATCACCGATTTCCTGATGTTACAAGCGGATAAAGGTACTCCCCTGTGTAACTTAGATGTCAGCCATTGGCAGCTCATGCGTGACACCTGCCGCTTGCTCAGGCCCTTTGAGGAGGCCACGCTATTCGTGAGTTGGCAGGACTATGGGATGAACGACGTCATTCCTCTGTTGCACGTCCTGGAACAAATGCTGTTAACAATGGCTGGTCAGGGTGCGGTAGACGGGGCGCACAGATCTCAACGCCACATGACCCCTGTGGGGGCAGGACAGGAAGAAGAGGAGGAGGTAGAGGAGGACATTGGTGCTCAGGAATTATTGAGTGAAATGGGTGGTTTTTCCACTCAGCGGACAGGAGTGGAGGAGCAGGAGCATCTGGTAGAGGAGGAGGAGGAGACAGAGGACCCAGACGCACCGTGGCAGTATGCTGTGGAGATGGAGGCAGGGAGTCCCTCGCATTCCTTGGCACAAATGGCCCATAGCATGCTCGGTTGCTTGCTTAGCGACAGCCGAATAATAACCATCAGACAGAGGGATGACTTTTGGCTGTCCACCTTGTTGGACCCTCGCTACCGTTCAAAAATGGTGGCCTTTTTCACACCTGCTGAGAGGGAGGCCAAAATAACGTACTATAAAAACCACCTATGTAGTCAGTTGGTTTCTGCCTTTCTGCGCCAACGTCCATCCTCAGACACTGTGGGCCCTGTGCGCTCGCGTTCCGCTGCCATGGCAGCAGGGGAGGGGTGGGGTGGTAGGAGCAGTGGCAGCTCCACCAGCAGCGGCTGCCTCAGTCTGCAGTCGATGATGAGTAGCTTTCTTCACCAGCGCAGTGAGGAAACTACTAACCAGCCGCAGCAGCAGCAGCATCAGGTGGACCTGGAGCAGGACCTCAAACAACAGGCTTGGGCCTACTTGGACAGCACCCTGCCAACCGAGGTAGACAATCCCCTTGACTACTGGGCAACGAAACTTGACCTTTGGCCCCAACTAGCTGAATTTGCCCTTGAAAGGCTGTCATGCCCGGCCAGTAGCGTGGCATCGGAGCGCGTGTTTAGTGCGGCAGGAGGTATTGTAACTCCGCGGAGGACACGACTGTCCACCCAAAGTGTGGAGAGACTCACGTTTGTGAAAATGAATCAGGCGTGGATTAGTCTGGATTTCAAACCACCAGTTCCTGACACAACTGACTAAATCCGCCATGAATCATGCCCCAAACATGTTATTATTTTTAACATAGGCCTCTGTATGGCCTTCAATTTAAGCTGCTTATGCTTCGCCACTCTGCCATGGGCCCCTGTACCGCCTCCTCTTGCTGCTGCCAGGTCCAGAGTGTGTCATGGGTCCCTGTACGGCCTCCCATTGCTGCTGTCTCCATCACCACACTCTGCCATGTGCCACTTTCAGGTCTCCTCACACTGCTGGTGGGTTCCATTTTGTCATAGGGTGCTGGCAGATTACGGGCCTCCCATTGCTGCTGCCAGGCCCGTAATCTGCCATGGGCCCCCGTACCAACTCCTCATGCTGCTGCCAGGCCCGTAATCTGTCATGGGCCCCTGTACCGCCTCCTCATGCTGCTGCCAGGTCCAGAGTGTGTCATGGGTCCCTGTACGGCCTCCCATTGCTGCTGTCTCCATCGCCACACTCTGCCATGTGCCACTTTCAGGTCTCCTCACACTGCTGGTGGGTTCCATTTTGTCATAGGGTGCTGGCAGATTACGGGCCTCCCATTGCTGCTGCCAGGCCCGTAATCTGCCATGGGCCCCCGTACCGACTCCTCATTTTGCTGCCAGGCCCGTAATCTGTCATGGGCCCCTGTACCGCCTCCTCATGCTGCTGCCAGGTCCAGAGTGTGTCATGGGTCCCTGTACGGCCTCCCATTGCTGTTGTCTCCATCGCCACACTCTGCCATGTGCCACTTTCAGGTCTCCTCACACTGCTGGTGGGTTCCATTTTGTCATAGGGTGCTGGCAGATTACGGGCCTCCCATTGCTGCTGCCAGGCCCGTAATCTGCCATGGGCCCCCGTACCGACTCCTCATGCTGCTGCCAGGCCCGTAATCTGTCATGGGCCCCTGTACCGCCCTCCTCATGCTGCTGCCAGGTCCAGAGTGTGTCATGGGTCCCTGTACGGCCTCCCATTGCTGCTGCCAGGCCCGTAATCTGCCATGGGCCCCGTACCGACTCCTCATGCTGCTGCCAGGCCCGTAATCTGTCATGGGCCCCTGTACTGCCTCCTCATGCTGCTGCCAGGTCCAGAGTGTGTCATGGGTCCCTGTACGGCCTCCCATTGCTGCTGTCTCCATCGCCACACTCTGCCATGTGCCACTTTCAGGTCTCCTCACACTGCTGGTGGGTTCCATTTTGTCATAGGGTGCTGGCAGATTATGGGCCTCCCATTGCTGCTGCCAGGCCCGTAATCTGCCATGGGCCCCCGTACCGACTCCTCATGCTGCTGTGCCAGGCCCGTAATCTGTCATGGGCCCCTGTACCGCCTCCTCATGCTGCTGCCAGGTCCAGAGTGTGTCATGGGTCCTGTACGGCCTCCCATTGCTGCTGTCTCCATCGCCACACTCTGCCATGTGCCACTTTCAGGTCTCCTCACACTGCTGGTGGGTTCCATTTTGTCATAGGGTGCTGGCAGATTACGGGCCTCCCATTGCTGCTGCCAGGCCCGTAATCTGCCTTGGGCCCCCGTACCGACTCCTCATGCTGCTGCCAGGCCCGTAACCTGTCATGGGCCCCTGTACCGCCTCCTCATGCTGCTGCCAGGTCCAGAGTGTGTCATGGGTCCCTGTACGGCCTCCCATTGCTGCTGTCTCCATCGCCACACTCTGCCATGTGCCACTTTCAGGTCTCCTCACACTGCTGGTGGGTTCCATTTTGTCATAGGGTGCTGGCAGATTACATGGGCCTCCCATTGCTGCTGCCAGGCCCGTAATCTGCCATGGGCCCCCGTACCGATGCCATGGGCCCCCGTACCGACTCCTCTCCTGTAATCTGTCATGGGCCCCTGTACCGCCATCCTCATGCTGCTGCAGGCCAGTAAGTCTGTCATGGGTCCCTGTACGGCCTCCCATTGCTGCTGTCTCCATCGCCACTGCTGCCATGTCCACTTTCAGGTCTCCTCACACTGCTGGGGTTCCTGTCATAGGGTGCTGTATGGCCTCCCATTGCTGCTGCCTCCATCTGCCCCCCGTACTCTGCCATGCTGTGCCAGGCCCTCTTCATGGGCCCCTGTACCGCCTCCTCATGCTGCTGCCAGGTTCATTTTGTCATGGGTCCCTGTACGGCCTCCCATTGCTGCTGTCTCCATCGCCACACTCTGCCATGTGCCCTTTCAGGTCTCCTCACACTGCTGTTCCATTTTGTCATGGGCAGATTACGGGCCTCCCATTGCTGCTGCCAGGCCCGTAATCTGCATGACTCCTCATGCTGCTGCCAGGCTCGTAATCTGTCATGGGCCCCTGTACCGCCTTCCTCATGCTGCTGCCAGGGTCCAGAGTGTGTCATGGGTCCCTGTACGGCCTCCCATTGCTGCTGTCTCCATCGCCACACTCTGCCATGTGCCACTTTCAGGTCTCCTCACACTGCTGGTGGGTTCCATTTTGTCATAGGGTGCTGGCAGATTTACGGGCCTCCCATTGCTGCTGCCAGGCCCGTAATCTGCCATGGGCCCCCGTACCGACTCCTCATGCTGCTGCCAGGCCCGTAATCTGTCATGGGCCCCTGTACCGCCTCCTCATGCTGCTGCCCATGGTCCAGAGTGTGTCATGGGTCCTGTACGGCCTCCCATTGCTGCTGTCTCCATCGCCACACTCTGCCATGTGCCACTTTCAGGTCTCCTCACACTGCTGGTGGGTTCCATTTTGTCATAGGGTGCTGGCAGATTACGGGCCTCCCATTGCTGCTGCCAGGCCTGTAATCTGCCATGGGCCCCCGTACCGACTCCTCATGCTGCTGCCAGGCCCGTAATCTGTCATGGGCCCCTGTACCGCCTCCTCATGCTGCTGCCAGGTCCAGAGTGTGTCATGGGTCCCTGTACGGCCTCCCATTGCTGCTGTCTCCATCGGCCATGTGCCACTTTCAGGTCTCCTCACACTGCTGGTGGGTTCCATTTTGTCATAGGGTGCTGGCAGATTACGGGCCTCCCATTGCTGCTGCCAGGCCCGTAATCTGCCATGGGCCCCCGTACCGACTCCTCATGCTGCTGCCAGGCCCGTAATCTGTCATGGGCCCCTGTACCGCCTCCTCATGCTGCTGCCAGGTCAGAGTGTGTCATGGGTCATGTATACGGCCTCCCATTTGCTGCTGTTCCATCGCCACACTCTGCCATGTGCCACTTTCAGGTCTCCTCACACTGCTGGTGGGTTCCATTTTTTGTCATAGGGTGCTGTATGGGGCCCCCGTACCCGCTCGCCTCCCATTGCTGCTGCCAGGCCCGTAATCTGCCATGGGCCCCCGTACCGACTCCTCATGCTGCTGCCAGGCCCGTAATCTGTCATGGGCCCCTGTACCGCCTCCTCATGCTGCTGCCAGATCCAGAGTGTGTCATGGGTTCCTGTACAGCCTCCCATTGCTGCTGTCTCCATCGCCACACTCTGCCATGTGCCACTTTCAGGTCTCCTCACACTGCTGGTGGGTTCCATTTTGTCATAGGGTGCTGTATGGCCTCCCATTGCTGCTGCCAGGCCCGTAATCTGCCATGGGCCCCCGTACCGACTCCTCATGCTGCTGCCAGACCCGTAATCTGTCATGGGCCCCTGTACCGCCTCCTCATGCTGCTGCCAGGTCCAGAGTGTGTCATGGGTCCCTGTACGGCCTCCCATTGCTGCTGTCTCCATCGCCACACTCTGCCATGTGCCACTTTCAGGTCTCCTCACACTGCTGGTGGGTTCCATTTTTTCATAGGGTGCTGTATCCTCCCATTGCTGCTGCGTCCACCGCCACACTGTGGCTCCACACTCTGGTTTTGGCCCCGTGACTGCCCAAATGAGTGAAGTGTGCGGTGATTCTAAGATCGACGGCACTCATCTGCATGTCATACTGATTGACAGTATTATTTCTCTTCCCCAGCAGACTCCAAGGGCATTTAAATTAAAGGTACAGTGTTCTGCACTAATATAAAGGCTCTCTGAAGCCTAGAAACACCCTTTTTATAAGTTAAATTCGCAGCGAATATATTCAACTCGAATCAAATTTATTCCGCGAATTCGCCGAACCAGACAAATCGAATTTTTTAATAATTCGCTCATCTCTAGTGACAAACTTCAGTAACCTAAATTTCTCTAGGCAATGCTTCAAAAGCCCCTATAAGTCATCAGTTTAGCATTACAGAGGAGGTGCTAGAATTATTGCTCTCACTCCAGAGTGTGCAGCGATATGTAACATGTGTATCTCAACTGACACTTCATCTGTCAATTGAGGAGTAAGTGGCATGACCAAAGACATGAAGTAAGCTTTCTGGCTCTTCTCTGCACCTTCAGCACAGTTCAGAACATTTGGGGACTATCTTGTGGATCCATATGCGTGTATAGTACTATTGCATTAACAGTTTGAAACCAGATTCTTGATATCTGGAGCATATGGAGGTTTTGTAGCTAAAAAGAAGATCAGCTCAATGTGCTTGCCAGAGAGAGTGATCCCAAGTTCTTGTTTCCATTTGGGAATAAAGGATAATTTCAAGTCTACACTGACTGCGTTTATGGGGAAAATCAAGCGATTTCTTTCCTGCAGCCTGTAAAGAATAAAGTACTGGTCAGAGTTTGGCTTCAATTTGTTAATGTATCTAAGACACCCCTCCCCCAAGCCTGAAAATGCTACTGTCCCAGGTTCCCCTGTGCTCATTCTTCTAGAGTGGGGGCACTCTAATAAGAAATTTGCAGTGAGAATTTTAACTTGCTAGAACAATTGAATACTCCAGGATAGGTCAATTCCTTCCCTCTTTGCAGATCATAACCCTGTATCTTCTGTGAATGTCCAATTAATAGTTGTGCTTGCCCAGGTGTCCTACCCCTCTTCTCACCCCCCTACATAACCTTTTTAGTGACCACTCTGATTCTGCTGGAGCTACAGCACAGCCAAGATGGTGGTGCACAGCAGCGTCGGGCTTTTGGATGTCTACATAAGTGAGGCAGGTAATTATCATGCTTATAATATGTTAAATTTACATATAACCTTTAATGAATGGTCTGGCGAAAGTCTATTTTATTTTGCCTTTTCTATTGACTCCAAAGTATTTCACAGAAATTACTACATATTCACTTGTGCTCATTTCTAATTACCAGTGGTAACAAAGGCTAGATACAGTATGTTCAAACCAACGAGAATACATATACTGTATATCATAGTCTACAGTACATTAATGTCTACATCCTCATAACGTTTACTCATAATGCAGAGGAAGAAGGTTTTGAAAAAAACATTAGGCTCAATTCACAAAGCTAATGCACCATATACTTATTTTCAGAAAGTGACAGTCGTTTTCAGTTAAAATGGAACTAAACTCATCAATTTCCAAAAGCAGTTACATTTATGGAATGTTGTGAATGATAACTGTCACAGTTGCTTGTGCTTTCAACCAAACTGTCAAACCAACGAAAACTGTTGTCCTCACAGATCACATGTGCAGCACCATGGCAACTGCAGATCCAACAAAGGCTAAGGTCTCATGCATACAGGGCATTTGGAAAAGCCCCACTAAACATCGGAACTGCTGGTAAGAAAACACAGATAAAAAATGTGCTTTTAGCAGCGTTTTACACACACGTTTATGCATGTTCGTGGTTACAAGTGTAGCGATACCCCCGAAGGGGCTGCTTAAGTTTGTTCACTCCGCCACTCTGCCTCTCAACCCCAAGAACTGTCTCAGCCCACACTGGCACACCTGGCAATAGTGTAAGTGCAAGGACCAATGAAAAAGCACACACTTTATAATAAAACACAGAGATCAGCTTTACTGTAGACCTCTATGGGAAGTAATAAACATTAACAACAGGTATATGTTAGGAGAATCAAGAGAACAGCAAATACTGTGACGGAAAGCAATATAACTCACTTTTGCACTCAGGCTGCTTTCAGGGGATTCCAACCATGAATAACCCCAAGAGCAGAGGAAACACTTACATGGCAACCTCAAAGTGGATTTAACTCCTCTTCATAAAATGGGCCCCATGATGTCCAAGCAGAAGGAGAGCAGAAGAATGACTCTCTGTTGTGTCAGACTTCTCCCTTCTAACCCCCCGACACCATGATCCCAATAGGAAAACACTGTACCCAAATGATGCTTAATAGCTACTTTCAAGGTAAAGCTAATCCCTCACACACCATGCAATATAGAGGCCTGACTACGCATGCGCATGCCCGTATGGCACCAATAACTTTAGTCTCTTTGTAACAGGATGAATGTTGGGATCTTCAGCTAGCCACTTTCGTTGGTGCACTTAAACTCCTTAAACACTTAAAGTGTAATTGTAATCCTGTGGCAGTATTTGTATAGTAAAGTGAACACTGTGTCTGTTCAGCAGGGCCATCTACACAACCCAGTGCCTGGTGAATATGAGCAAGGTATGATGTCTCTGTATGTGTGCAATGTTCCTGTCATCTGACAGTGGGAGAAATCCCTCTCACCAGATCCTGTGACAAAGGCCCAAACGATCGTCCTGAAAATGACAGGTTCCTCTGGTCACCTCACGATGAGCACTTCACACTGTCAGTGTAGGCACTGTACTGTAGACCACTTCTCTCAGTTTGGATGTTCCTTTGTCTGATGCAGATCACCAAGCATCCAGTGCACTGCCCAAAAGCACTTCTTTTCCAGGTCCAATCTCTCTCCTGCCACATGCAGTCCCCCTCTCCTTCAGGAGAAACCCAAGATGGCCCCCTTCATTCTCCTCTCCCTAAGCATGATGGCTTTCGTAGTTCTTTATTTTTATTCTATCTCCATATCAGCCTATAAGGCCGTTTCTGTTCAAAACTCCATCGTCCACAATGCTTTGCAGCTGCACTTCCTGCTTGAAAGAGTCCTTGTCATTGGCTCCTTTAATGGCTCTTATAATTGGCTCTCTCTCTCTTACAGTCTGAGAGGAGAAAGGGGGGGCTGAAATCCCTCACTGCTTTGTCTGTGTCAGGGCAAGTGTCAGGTTACACAGGAGAGGCCAGTCAGCAGATCACAGCCATGAGACAGGATTAATATCTCCTGCTACACAAGTGTTTTTTCCAAAATACCATTCTCTGTTGATTTTTCTCTCCCAAACGCCCACAATGCATTGAAAAATAAATAATTATTAATGTAAGGAGCCATTTTGTGACAGCAGAGATAGCACTCTGTTTAGCAAGGAGCTTTCTGTCTTTCTGAGCTGGATCCAGTCATCAACAAGATTGACAAAATACTTCTGTTGATTCTATTGTGGAGGTTGAGAAGACAGAGAATTGTATGAGAAGAGCAAAGATTGTTGCTACTTGACTCAACACTTGATGTCTATCATTTATCTTCATGATACTTGGCTAATATGTTGTCACATACCTAGTAGGAGGCTGAATTGATGAGATTGGCCTCTCTTGTATCTCCTGCCCAAGCCCCACTGAAGGTGGAACAGATGTGCCAAGGGACAGGAGGAACACAAGTGCCGGCAGGTGTTGCAGCAAAGCTTGCAGCTGGATGTGTAGGCTCGGAAGGCCAGGAAGGACATCGGGTCAGGAACAGAGACAGTGTAGAGTAGACCAGCCAAGGTTAAAATGAGCACTCCGCAGGAGTCGCAGGTTCTGGATGTATCGCTTGTTGGGTCTCCAGACAGACTTGAATGGAGGAACACACTGCAATAACTGGAGCTAAGATGAGGGACATCCAGGGCAGACACTCTAGAATAACATGAAGCCAAACCAAAAGCAGGAGCTTGGTCAAAAGAGCAGTCAAAATCAGCAACAAGCAGGCAACAAGGTACAGAAGCATCAGGAAGAGACGTGGTCAGGAGCAAGCCAAGGTTAGGAACAGATGAGCAGAAGCATTAACAGGGTCCAAGGTCAAGTCAATAAAAAGCTGGGTCAGCAATGTATATAATGCAGGATACTTGCAGGACACACAGGAATCGCTGAAGACCAGTCAGCACTGAAAATGGGCAGGAGTATCCCTTAAATAGCCCGTTTGGCGTCAACAGGAACTGTGGACGCATGCATGTGCCTTCTTGCATGCAAGCGCGTGCCTATGCCCAATTGTATGAGCAATACCATGTGCATGTGCACATCTGTCCGCCTGACTTCTCACAGTAATTTTCTGACACATGCACAGTACGAGGAGATGCCGAATTATCTTGACAAATTCTTAAACTTCTGAAAGATTTCTTCTGGTACCTTTGATGATCTTCTGGGGAGCATGCCACAGCTGCAGGTTGGTTTATGTTGATGCATGCGTTGCCTGGGAAGATCAGTGCCTGTTGCAGAATGGTGCATGTAGACCAGGAGTAGTGCCTAGAAAGAATTCCACCAGAAACATCTGGAAAGAGTGGCGGTGGCAGACCACTCCTATACTGCCCTGGAGGCCAACACAAGGGCAGATATGCTTTCTATGCATTGCTTCTCCTGATACACATCAAGTTCCCCAGGAAGCATATATAAGCTGTGGCAGAATGTGATTCAGGCATTATTCAGGATGAGGAAAACATCATTCTGTCCTCTTCATTGCCTAATATCCTGCTTAAATGTGTCTCTCATTTAGATGCATTTGAGTTTAGGTGCATTTGATGATTTTTATGCCCAAAAGTTCCTCTGCTGAAGATGGTTTTGGTGCATTCATATTTTTGCCCCCAAATGCTCCTGTCCTTAAACTCCTTTAAAAGCCTATATGTGCATGGGCACATAGGATAACACAGAGAGGTGTTCAGGGGCTTCAGGAAAAAAAAATGCCAAACACCTAAAAAAACAGCAAGCTTCAGTATGCATGAGCCCTCAGATGGAAAATATCTTTTCTGCAAAGGATATGAGGGTTTAGTTTGGTTTTAAGTCCAAAGAGATTTGAAAATTATAGTCACATGTTTAAAATAAATTGTTGTGTG